GCTGGCATTGCAGGTTGATTTCTTCCGCATGGCGTTGCTTTGCGAGAAGCTTTGAGTATTCATTGCACTTGCAGCCTAGGTAATGCAGGCCGTTGTTGAACCATTCGATAGGGTCACTGACCTGGTTCCTTTGCGCCTGCCAGAAGGACCAGACTTCCTTGAGGTAGGTTTGGAAGCGTTCTATTTTGAGAAGGGATGTATTAAGTTTGTAGTAGCCCGTGCCTTGGTCAGGTTTCTTCCTAAAGGTAAAGATGGCTATACACATCGCATGATCCAGCCCGCGGTGCGGGCTACGGGGGAATATCCCTGCTACCTGAAGGGCCCCTTGTATCTCCTCTGAGGCCAAGATCAGATCTATGCGAGATTTGGAAGTTTTTTCCTTGCCATTCCTGCGAAAGCATGTGAAACGCCAATCGGTGGGGAAATGCCTTCTGAAGGTGTAAAAAAGGTCGAGTGATTGGAGCAGTTCTGCAATGCTCCTCTCATCGTTTTGCATGTACTGTGGGCAGAATGTGGGGATATGCCGTCTGTCGAGCCAACAGTCCGGGGCAACATTAAAATCGCCCGCCAGGATTAGCGGGATGTCTACCGGTAGTTTATCCTTCAAAGATTCAAGGAATCTTTGGCGTGCTGGCGGTTCATTTGGTGCATACACATTCAGAATGCACACCACTTCCAGCTCCAGCATAGCCAGAAGGTAGACCCACCTACCTTCCTCCTGGTCCGCGGCCCAGTTTAGCATTTCTACCTTGGTGTTGGGGGAAAGCCAGATAGCCACCCCTCCGCTGCCCGACTTGGGAGCGTGGGCCCTATAGGCTTGGTATGGCCAGATCTCCTTGTGTATATGGTTGTGTTTTGGACTATTTGTGAGATGAGTTTCTTGCTGACACACAACGTCCGGCCAGTTCCTCCCATCTACACCCTTCAGCTGATCGATTATTGCCTGTCTTTTAGGGAGCTTAGCAGAGACCAGTCCATTTACGTTCAGGGTCCGCAGGTCCAGGTCGGCTTGGCGCTTGCCAAGCTTCTAGGTCCTGTCTTTGCCGTACAACGCGTCCACCGCATTCATCATACTTGCTGGTCCTTGCATGTCTTCCGTTGGAAAGGGTTATTTTTGTTGGTTCGTTTTTTCTTTTTTCATATGGGAAGCCACTTTTCTGTGTTCAGCATGACACCCTTTTGCAGCATGCCGTTTCTTATCAATTTGATTAGGAAGGCCCTGATCTCCTCTGCCAACCAGAGGTCACCCGATTTAATCTTCAGCAGTTGGAGGTCTTTGAGGGTTTCTTGGTCCTGCCACCGCAGGTCCTCTGTTGCGGAGTCATTGTATCGCAAATATATATCTTTGGACGCTAACCTGTGAGGGCCGTATGACATTACCAGTGCTGCTGCAGCTCCTTCGGGGATCAAGTCTTTGGTCAATTGGGAAATCTCAGTCCCCCGAAGTGGCAGCCCCTCCCCCCACGATGTGAGCGAAAGGAACAGGGTTGAGCGCCCCTTCATGGTAACCTCGCCGTGTAGTGCTCTCGGGGGGACCGCTAGACCGACTTCCCAGTTTCCATCCCCGCCTCTTTTTCTGACGGGTAAGAGCGCAAAGCCTCTGTTGGACGGTGGCGGGTCTTGAGGCGTTGTTTCCATCAGGACTCTGAGCTTTTGCCTCTTGCTGGTGAGAGCAGGCTCGGGGGGTTTTGGGGGAGGGGTTTCCTTTTCCTTTTCCTTTTGTGGGGCTTTTGATTCCCAGGCCGCTAAGGCCATTATGTATTCTCCCCCTTCCTCCCCATTACTCCCTCGTGTCAGGGACTTGCCCTCATTCTGGAGCCTGTCCCCCGTTCTCTCCTCGTTCTCGGTCCCCAGTGGTACCGTTGGACTGGCGCCATATCCCTCCGGCTCAGTCGTCCCTTGTTCCTCCCCTTTCCCCGTTTCTGCCTCCTTCCCTGCCTCTTTTGGTTTTAATGGGCAGGGCGTGTTAGATATACCCTCTGTCTGCTCCAGTCCTTTCTTTTCTTCTGGCTGTTCCCCTGATGTCTCTTCCAGCCCCCCAGCATCTTTGCCAGGAGGGTTTCGCTTCGCGTCTTTACTTGAGGATTCATTCCCTTGCTCGTTCTCATTACCTTCCTTCTCGAAATCTTTCTCGGGTTCTGCGGGGGGTCGAGGGAGGGGGTGGAAGCGACTAAGAACGATGCGAAACAGTTTTTGACAGATGTCATGGCAGTTAGTTCCCTCGGGTAGCCCTTGGATTAGGGCCTTTTGCAGGCTCGCGCTGCTTTCAAGCATGGGAACCAGCGCCCTATATACCCCATCCTAGAAGTCATCGTCCCCGTCTCCATATCTTGTATGAAGGCTACTCATCAGCCAGTCCGCCACCGTTTGAAGGCTCACTTCCGCTGTTCTTTCGTTCGGGTCCACGTCAGCCATGTCTTCGTCAGGCGGTGTGGGAGGGGCCGGGGGGGGGGGCAGGGCACCAGGGGGTATCTCAATGTCCATCGGTGCCGGGCCAAAGGCGTCTTCGAACACGTCCTGTTCCAAATCTGGACTCTTTCCCTTGTTGCGGGTTACCTGATCCGCTTTCTGTGAGTGCGCTCCTGCTGCGTCACTCTCTGTTGGGGTTTGTTCTTTCTGCCTCCCGCCCTCCAGCTTTTGTTTGATCAGCAGGTTCCCAGTTGGCAAATATTCCTTTGCTGTCGGGCCCCAGTCATTTTTCTTGTGTTTCCCCTGCGTTTGCACTAGTAGCCCTTTGAGCTGCTTTTCTCTTTCTTGGGAAGGCTGCAGCTTGGGATAGGAGGGCTGTTGCTTAGGTTCTGTTCTCTCTTTACCAAGTTCCTTGTTAGCAGGGGTAGGTCTCTTAGGTTCCTTTTGGGGAGACAGTTCCGAAATCGTAGTTGTAGGATGTCTGAAGGGTCAAGGTCGTAGCTGCTACTTACCTGAAGGGGCAAAGTCGTAGCTGCTACAGTACCGAAAGGCCAAGTTAGAGGTTTCTAGAAGTGGCCTTTCGGAGTGAGCCTGCGTTGAACAGAGGCAAGTGGTCAASTGGTGGWAGGCCACCTYGCTGWGTCAACAGTCCCAGTTAGGCAGTCCGGTCCTGTCCARCAAGTACCGTCTGGGAYTGTGTGCACCAGGGGCCAAGGGACACAGGGCAGACCAACGCAGCRCAGAAGTAKAAATCAAGAGGCTGCGTCCAGCCATTCATTCATTCCTGCGGAAGCCATGCGGAARCGCTGCCTCAGCAGCTTGTGCGAGGAGGTCTGCAGAAGGCCCGAAGACGAAGTGGGCGAGAGTGACGCACTGTAGCCATAGCAGTAGGGTAGCGGCGGCCATAGCCGCCATAGCTGTAGTGTAGGGGAAGAGTGTGTGTACTGCGTGTGTATA